CCCCTGGGCGATGAATATGGGCCTTTCCCTTTATTGAATGTAGGGATAAAAATGCTTTCTACCTCAATTTTTATTGAGAACGTACGTAACGAATAAAGTGTTTTCCAATAATTGAATCGATATCAGGGCAGCGATCATCACTTCAGGCTTTGCCTAACGCTGATCATGGGGAAATGAAGGCAAACATAGTGAGATACGTTCACCATGTTCATTTTCATGAAAATAAGTTACAGTTGATAGAGTGTATACTTGAAAGTAAACTCTTTGTTCCAAGTCTGACCTAAGTACCTAATAAGTAACTAAACATAATTAGAAAGTTGGTAGATTTTGCAGCTAGTTTAAGAAATAGAGAAAGAAATCGGGGCGTGGAATCAGAACGTCTGAGGTTCACGACTCCTCATGGGAGGAACTCATGATATTTGCTTTGTCCCACGCTCGAAACAAGATCAAAAAACACCTTTTTCTCATGCGTAACAAGGGAAGTGTAAAGTGAAAATAAACTAGTAACTAGTAAGGCTACTTTAAATTTAATCGTTCAATGAAAAGTAAATAATAATTAGATTAAAATACAATGCATGTTCACGAATAAAACTGACCAAGTTGGCAGTAAATTAGACAGTGAAGAATCTCAAGGGTGTACAACCTCGTTCTCAGGGCTTTTCCCTTTTTGAATATTTTCTCGCCCGCCAAAATATTCAAAAAGGGAAAAGCCCTGGGAACGAGGTTGAAGGGTGTAAAGCTTAAGCTACTAATCGTCAGCATTGTTGAAAGTTCTAACCTCACTTTTTACTTTAGGTTTAATGTTAAAATACCACAGTCGTAACAAGCTGTAAGTAACCATGTTTAGAGGGGGGTAAGTTTCTAAAAAAATTGTGTTGCTGCTTGATGGGCGGTACAACATGATAATTTGGTTTTAACAACTGAGTCGAGGATATAAATTGTCAACGGCAACACTTACAAGTATTTTAAATCATACACAATGGGGTTATAACTATGGTGCTCCCCTATCTAAAAGTTTTTAAGTTACAGAACAAATTTATTAGAATTAAAATGACGTGCCTTCATTAGTATCTGAACTACATGACTCGCAGTTTATCTTTAAATCAACTGGCAATACCATCATATCGCGCGAACCTGAGGAGATTTTGCCCGTCAATTATTGGTAGATATTTCTGGAATAGTATTCCTCTAGTAATTAGAGGAAGACACCAATTCAAAAAACATTTAAAGAGGTACTTTCAAACTACTATTTAGCTCAATGCTGACTGTAGATACATATCTCTTTTACACTCGTTCTCCTCTCCTATTACGGCATTTCTTTTAGCGAGTAGTAGTAGTAGTAGTAGTCTTTATTTCCTCACAAGTTAAAAAAAATACATATCTTATGGTATAATATTTGAGTAAAAGTATATATATCTAAATTATAAGCTCACATAGCTAAATTGTATTTAAAGATTAAGCGATTAATGAAAGAGTTCTTGAATCTATCTGTATTAACTTTCGGATACTGACTTGCTCGATGCCTTAAATTTCTTGTCGGGTAATAGTCCCCTTAGAGGGTGTCGGTCTATGCCAGATACCTCACGAAATACTTTTCTATCCTGCTTTTCCAGAAGGTGTTTGATAGAAAATGATTTAGATGTATATTTACGTTTGTATTTCTTATCACAACAAGGGCACTACTTTAATATTCTGGATGTGCCCTTCTCTTCTCTCTGATTACTTGGAACCAAGACCTAACTTTTTTCGCAGAGATAACCTATTAACTATATACCAGGTGTTGTCCATATGCATTAAAATACTGGAGTAAAGGAAAAAAATAAAATACACATACAGGTTAAGCGTTATAAACACTCAGTTCTATTTGCTTGCTCAGCCAAATGAGGGTATTCAATCTTTTGCTGTGTCTGCTTTGTGTCGTCGAGAAAAAGACACCGAAGATGAACTTGATTAACGGTTTGAAACTTCCCATGTTTGAACGACATTCTATAGGGTCGCAAATTATTACCTTTGTGGATGTTAAAACTGGAGCATGTTCAACCATGTTTAGGCGAGTCAAGCTATGGAAATGAAACTAACTTGAGTAACTCGAACTCTTGATGCAGGTAAGGTCGTTTAAATTGTTATGGCCTACCGTTCAATAGATAGTCTATATTTAAATTAAAAATTATAATTAAAAAGAATGTTAGCCGCTGGAATTGAAGTTCTTACTTTCATCTGCAAAATCTCGGACAACGAGTAGGATCAGTGTGGACAATCAACTTGATGATAATTGTGATTTGTAACCTCGTTAACTATATATTTGTAACCTTATTAGAACGAACCGTTTGGAATTTTTAGGACAGAATCAGTAAAGGGAAGTCAGAGCCGCAAGCAGTCTATTAGCAACACCCAGAGGCTTGTTGTGTGTTGTTTTTCCCCAGTCTAACGCTCGCTTCAGCAGCTATGATTTTTTTGTAAACTTCCCTAGCAGTTGGGCGGCTATTCGGGTCGTAGGATAAGGCATCAAGGGTGATTCTTCGTTGGGTTCCCGATACTTGCTTTTCAGGAGAGAACTTGACTTTTGCTTCAGGATTACGTGTCATGGCACGTCCAAGACCAACCATTCCTTCGTCTCGCGTCGTGAAGAAAGCGCCATAAACTTTCTTCTTTTTAAAAGTGACGTACTTCCTCTCCAGAATTGCAAAGGAGATTAATCAAAGAGAGAACACATCAGCTTTTTCGGTGGAGTGGCCTTCGAATACTTCAGGAGCCATCCAAAACGGACTTCAGCAAATGTTTCCATGTAGTACCTTTTATAGAATGCAAAGAAATTTGAGGGATCTTCGATCTTGAGTGCTATATAATTTCTTGCCAGCCCAAAGTCCGCCACTTTAACATCGTGCGAGCCGGTGAGAAGAACATTGTCTGGCTTTAGGTCACCGTGGACTATTCTTTTCTTGTGAAGGAAGCGAAGAGCATCTGCGATTTGTTTCATCCACTTTCGATTCAACTGGTCGATGCTTGGTTCCATCAAGTACTCGTTCAAACTCGCAAGCGTGCATAACTCAGTTAAAATGCGACAGTGGATCTTAGATGTGTCCTTATCTACAAAGGCTTCTGCACCTTCGATAGTGATGATGTTCTCGTGGTTAACTACTTCTAGGACATATCTGACTTCCTTCACAGCATTTTCAACCGCGCTTCTGCTGATACTACATTGGATATCCTTAAGAGCATAGACATCATTGCTCTTTTCGTCTCTGACTCGATAAGCGGTGCCAAAGGCACCTCTCCCAAGTTCTTCCTCAATCCTTAACCGAGTTGATCCAAAGCTAATGACAACCATTTTGAAAGAGCTCAGTTTTCTCGATGGCAGGAACGAAAAGAAAGATACGTGTGTAGGAGGCAGGAGAGTTATTTCTTAGAAAATTAGTCACGTGACTACTAAGACTTCCTTTCAAGAGCGAGGCTGAATAGGCTAATTTACATGTCAAGAATGACAACGATGTGCGTCGTTACCGGAAAAGATCTTATGGTATAGAGACATGCTGTTGTCTCTTTTGTTCTGCTGCCGAAACGGTATGCAAATTGATGGCAATCGCAATCAACAACTTCAACTAAAATCTGTTCATGATTTCACTCAAGAAAGCAATGCAATTTATTTCAATACACAAAGATAGCTAAAGAAAAGACAGAAGTAGCCCATTTACTTTTGGTCTCTTTTCCAAAGCGAGTTGTGGTGCTCATCCTTTCATACGATGACACGTTTTCGTTTACATGCAAATTAAACTCCTTTTTATAGGAATGGTTGAGCACCAGGCCTCGTTTTGAAAAGAGGCCAAAGGTAATTTGTAAATGGCTATTGAGGAACACAATCTAAGACCAACGAAGAAGGGGGTTAAGGAGAGGGGGTGGTCCTGCCTACGTTTTATGCACATCAAAAAGTAGAAATGGTGCATCCCGAAAAACCGAATAACAACTTTAAGGTTCACGTATCGCGGAAATCGAAATTCACAGCCCACGGGGATTTGTTTCGTATTTTCATTTGTCATTAAAAAAAAAATTAAAACCACTTGGTCCCGTATTACGCAATAATCCCTCAGCGAACCAGCTTAAAAAATTCGCAAAGTGGAATAGTGAATGTTAGAGATGCTAACTAGTCAAAAAGAAAAGGCCACTTCCCAAAACCCAAACAGACTCCACACTTGCGAAATGAATTTGGCTGAATACCTAGGCTTTCTTGCTTTATTCTCATTTATATGACTTTTTAATACTTGCATAGTAAGGCAGTTCTACACGGCTTATGTTAACCTCTTCTACGTTTGAAACTGATGATAGGATGTCGTAAAAACTTCCTGTTACGCAGTATTTTCGTTAGTTTTCCTTGTGAAATTTTAAACTTGATCAGGCTAATTCAATTCTTACCGTGCATCTGCGCATATCCACGATGGAAGAAACCAATAACGTTTATAACATAACCAAAGTAAAGCGCGCGCTCTGATTGGTCAAACTATGGCCTACCGTTCAATAGATAGTCTATATTTTAAATTAAAGATTATAATTAAAAAGAATGTTAGCCGCTGGAATTGAAGTTCTTACTTTCATCTGCAAAATCTCGGACAACGAGTAGGATCAGTATGGACAATCAATTTGATGACAATAAAAAAAAAGCTGGCAAATTACGTATTTTCTTACCAACAACGTCCTGTGTAATTTGTAATCTCGAAGAGAACAAACCATTTGGGATTTTTAGGATAGAATCACAAGAGGGAAGTTAGAGCCGCAAGCAGTCTATTAGCAACACACAGAGGATTGTTGTGCGTTGTTTTGCCCCAGCCTAACGCTCGTTTCAGCAGCTATGATTTTTTCGTAAACTTCCCCAGCAGTTGGGCGGCTTTTCGGGTCATAGGATAAGGCATCAAGGGTGATTCTTCGTTGGGTTCCCGATCCTTGCTTTTCAGGAGAGAACTTGACTTTTGCTGCAGGACATTTTTCCATGGCATATCCAAGACCAACCATTCCTTCATCTGGAGTTTTGACGAAGGCGCCATAAAATTTCGTTCCTCCAAAAGTGACGTACATCCTCTCCAGAATTGGAAAGAAGATCACTGCAAGTGAGAATACATCGGCTTTTTCAGTGTAGTGGCCTCTGAATACTTCAGGAGCTATCCAGAACGGAGTTCCAGCAAATGTGTTCATGTAGTACGTTTTGTAGACTGCAAAGAAATTGAAGCGATCCTCGTTACTGAGTGCCATATATTTTCTTGCCAGTCCAAAGTCTGCCAATTTAACATTATTAGAGCCAGTGAGAAGAACGTTGTCTGGTTTGAGGTCACGGTGGACTATTCCTTTCTCGTGAAGGAAGCGAAGAGCACTTGCAATTTGTTTCATCCACTTTCGATTCAACTGGTCGCTGCTTGATTGAGCAAGGCGATCATTCAAGCTTCCGCCGGGGCAATACTCGATCAAAAGCAACATGTGGAACTGACTGTTTCTATCGCAAAACTTATCTCCACTCACGATAGCAATAACATTTTCATGAGAGATGCTGCGAAGTGTTTCAGCCTCGCGGATGGTATTTTGAAAGTCTGAACTATTCAAACATAGGATATCTTTCAAAGCGTATACGTTTGACGTTCCCTCTTCTTTCACTTTGTAGACAACACCAAAAGCGCCTTTACCAAGTTGTTCTTCGATAATCACTCTTTTCTCACCTACTTGGAGCCGTGTTGGAAGGTTAGTTTTGGCCATTTGAAAATCGCTTTACCTAGCCTGACGCAAAATATAACAGTGTTTAGACGTACGATCGATATAGGGTTGTTTTCTCGGAAAAGCAACTAATGTCCTAATGCTAACTAGCGTGCTTTGCGGCCTTATGTCGATTTTTTACTTCCGGTTATGAAAGATTTGGTTGAAACCCAAAACTTGAGTGGAATTATTAATATTACAATCATCTAGTGAATACGGTGGTCCGTAAGGGACATCAAAACCCAACCGTTTATTTTGAGATATATTCATAACTGTTTTCAATGATTTTTTGTTGCTGTTTTTTTTTCTCAAAAACCATCTTTTCTTTCTTTTTTTTTTTTTCTTTAAACTCTGGTTTTTTTTCAAAACCCAGGTTTTTTTTTCCAAAAACCAGGGTTTTTTTATCCCCAAAAATTGACAGTCAAACTTAGAACAAAACCTTGAGTTTCGGGAAAAATACCTGGGTTTTGGTCCAAAAAAAATCTGAGTTTAGGAAAAAAATCTGGGGTTTTTGAGGTAAAAAAAAAAGTTTTGGAAAAAAGCTGAGTTTTGAAAGAAAAAGCTGGGTTTTGGAAAAAAGCTGGATTTTGAAAAAAAAAATCTGGGTTTTGGAAAAAAAAACCTGGGTTTTCAAAAAAAAAAAAGAAAGAAAAAAAAAAAAAGAAAGAAAAAGAAAATATGGTTTTGAGGAAAAAACAGCAACAAAAAAATCATTGAAAACCGTTATGAATATATCTCAAAATAAACGGTTGGGTTTTGATGTCCCTTACGGCCCACCGTAAGAACGTTCCGCACAAGGTAAGAAACGGGAACAAACTTTGCTTATTTACAATTGCCAGTTGTAAAAACACTTACGCAGTGGACTGGACGAATAAGGAAAATTCATTAAACAAAATAACGATAACAGAGAAATTTCATTGCTAAAGTCAATGAGGGGTCATTCTTAACAAGTCGAAAGGTAGTGTTCTTCTTTTTGTTGTAGAATTTATTTTTGTCGTTGCTTTTGTTTTCTTTGTTCATTTGCGAAAGAAAGAGAAGAAACATGGAACACATGTTGAGTCCATTTCTTTTCTGCAGAAGACTAGCTTGTTCTAAGAAGAAATAGTCAGGTATCGGAGTGCTTTTAGGGAGATAACAGGTGAAAAAAAAACAAAAACAAAAACAAAATAGATAGAAAAAAAAGAGATTACAATGAATCATTTATTAAGATACGCCTGAAATTATGCAAAAGGCTGCATGAAGATACTGTGGGCGCCTCATCACGTGAACAGGTTAGGAGATCATTCTCTTCCCTAACCATAATAACATAAAAAAACACACACACACACACACACACACACACACACACACACACACACACACACACACACACACACACACAGACGAAACGGTGAGAGACAGCGGAAATTGATACACCGAAGGGCCAGTATATACTAATTTCTCTGCAGCAGATCTAAGATGATTAGTCTGATGGAGGAGCAGGTGCTTATTTACGTGATTAACCTTGACATCTTCGAGACTGCTACTCTTACTGAAGGTCGACACTTCGGAAGTAAGACTTCACGTGCGTTTTCCTGGTGAGTTGACATTTGAATATTGTGGTGTGGCTTTGCGGAATTGACATTTTCGCCAGCTGCTCATTTAGCCGGATCAGCCAGCACAGTTCTTGGAACATACCTGAAATTTTGCACGATTTTGTAGGGAAAAGGACTGTTCATTCCTGTTACCATTTTATTAATTAGCATTCTAAAACTGACTGCTTTTTGCTGTCCAAGCTAATTCCAATCCAACGTCTCTTGCTTTTCCAATTTTCTTTCGAAAGGGGCCCGATATAAATTTCCTGCTAATTAAAAAAGATTGGTTTACAAGTTATACATTTTGTTTCAAGGCGGTTGCGGATTGAAGTTGTATACGAACTGACCTGTCAATCCTCATTGAATTGTATCATGTCGTACAATACATATGAATAAAGGCTGATAGTTTCGAAAGAAACTGTTTGGGGCTGCGTCGGTGGGTTGAGGTGAGGCTGCGTCAACAAGGTGAGGTGAGGCTGCGTCAACAAAGTTGAAATGGTAAATTGGCCACCGTAGCGATTACAAAAGCTGACGTTTCGAGCGTCAGCCCTTCGTCGGAGCGAATAGAGGAATTGTGGGTTGTGTGTGCTCTTAAAGGAAGAAAATAATTGCTGATGTTCTACACAGGCCACCAATTTATAACTATAGCCACCTGAAAAGATTCTCCCCTTGCTTTTTTATTCTTTTCAGTTGATTGTCTCAGTTTGTCTGTTTGTTTATTTTTCACTGATGTCGTTTTTTGTCTTTGTGAGTCTGTTTTTCGAATTGTATCGTTTACAAATAGTTTCCAAAATCTAGGAAGAAATTTAGGAATTACAATTTTCTTTTCCCAGAACTTAATTTAAACCATTATGCCACCGCTATATTACAGGTGTACTGCTTGGAGAGGATAGAATCACGCAAAATTGCAAATTATCCTCGATATCTTTGTTATCAAAGTCATTTTGTCGCATACATACATTCTTTTGATGTTAATATGGTTTCAGTTAAGTATGTTTTCTCGAAATTTTCAATCAGTACAAATCTGCAAATAAACTCAGCAAATATGGTGTTCGGTTAATAGCGTTAATATGGTGCCGAGCAAACGCACGGAAACCCAGGGGAAAAATTAAAACTTAATTTAATAGTTAGAATAAGGAGAAAATAAGTTTTCTTTAAAATGAAACCAGCACAACTTAGGTAATCGTAAAACATTCGAAAGTGAGTTTG